TCCTCTTTGGAGAAGTGTCTATTCAGGTCCTTTGCCCATTTTTTTTAATTGGGTCATTTGTTTTTTGGTGTTAAGTTTTATAATTTCTTTATAAATTTTGGATATTAATCCCTTTCAGATGTATTGGTGAATATGTTCTCCCATTCTGTGGGTTGTCTTTTTTTCTTTTTTCTTTTGTTGATGCAAACTGAACTAACAAGTAAAATAGAGACAGACTCATAGATACAGAGCAGGGTGACAGCTATTGTGGGGGAGGTTAGGCGGTGGAGGGACCAAGCAAAGAAGAAAAAGGACTCATGGACATGGACAACAGTGTGGTGATTGCAGTGGGGAGGTGAGTATAAGGGGGCTAAATGGAAATGGAAAAAAATACAATAAAATACAATAAAATAAAATAAAATAAAATAAAATAAAATTAAATTAAATTAAATTAAATTAAATTAAATTAAATTTAGCTTTTGTACAGAGAAGTCAGATTTGAGACTCAGAAGTCCAGTAACATCTCAATGTCTCTTCTGAAAATTTCTATTCTATTTAGAAAACATAAGTGCTGATAATTATCTCATTTCTTTCTCTTTGCATTCCAGCTGTAACCTTGTCCTGAGTGCAAGGCTTGATGGTGAATGAATGATCAGAGGACCAATGAGAGTAGAAAGAAATATATGCCTATATGTATATACATATGCACAAATACAGATAATGCATATAAACATGCATGTTTATATAAAGAGTAGAGAAATCAATAAACAAAGGTTTTGGTGGTTACACATGCATTTTTTTCTTTTGTATAATTTTCTATATTTTGTAAATTTCTAGAAGGAACATGTTCTATATCATCAGAAAAAGAAAATTATATATGTGTATATGCATATATATACATACTCATATATACTATGTGCATATATATAGACACACATACATATATAGTCAGAGACAATATACATGTGGGTGGAGATGCTTGGAGTCAGAGACTATATATATATATGTATATATAGTCTGTATATGTGTTTATATGTGTGTGTATATAGTCTCTGTGTATATATATTCTATGCATATGTATATAATCTCTGACTCTGCACATCAGCACCCACAGTGAAGAAAGGAGAATAGGGGACCCAAGCTTTGTGTTGGCCACACCCAAAGCTGTCTTCTCCTCAGTCTCTGTGTTACTGGATCTTTAACCTTAGTGACCCTTTCTTCCTGAAACATAGTCATCTTCTGATCCTCACTCTTACACTAATAAGACTGCCTTTCTGTCAGATGCATTTTATTTTTTCTTATATTATTTTTACAAGAAACATGAGAACTTTTAAAATTTATATAAAGCAAACTTTCAAACACATGTAAAGTGAACGGAGAAGTATAATGAATCCCCACGTACCTGCCACCAAGCTTCCACAATTATCAGCATTTTGGCATTCTTATTTCATTCAGTCTCCATCTACTTTGCCCCTCCCACGCATTGTTTTTTATAGATTTATGTAAATCTATATTTATCTGAAATGTGAAATGCACAAATCTTAGTTGTACATTTTGACAAGAGGGCACATTCATGTAACTCAGATTCTTATCATGAACATTTTCACTTCCCTAGAAAGTTCTCCAAAATTCCATTCCCACTCCCAACACTAATTTTCTGTTTTAGAATGTCACATAAATGGAGTCAGGTGGAAGGCCCTCTTTTGAGTTCAGCATGTCTGTTAGACTTCATGCGGTTACATGCATTAGCAGTTCATTCCTGTTTGTTATATTACCTCATACAAATTTATTTATCTGTGTTCTTGTTAATGAACATATTTGGTTTGGATTACTGTGAGTAAAACTGCTATGAACATTTTTGTACAAGTCTTTTAATATGTTTTTATTTCTCAGATAAATTCCTAAGAATGGACTTGCTGGACCAAAGAGGAGGTGTATGCTTAAGTTTGTAAGAAATGCCAAATACTTTTTAGTGGTTGTACTATTTTACGCCCCTCTCCCACCCCAGCAGTGTCTGAGAGTTCTGGTTGCCCCACACCCTCACCAAACTTGGTATTGTAAGGTTGTTGTTGTTGTTGTTTTTTAAGTTTTAGCAGTTTTAGTGGAGATATAGTGGTACTTCACCATGGTTTTAATACATATTTCCCCAATGACTAATAACATTGACATTTTGTTTACGTATTCTTTGGCTATGCATACACACACATACTTATATAAATACAAGTATATCTTTGTACAGTGTTGGAATTTTTTGTTAATTATTAATTGGGTTCTGTCAGCCTATTTTGGTTGCTATAACAAAATATCATAAACTGGGTGGCTTATAAGGGAAAGAAATGTATTTCTAACAGTTCTGGAGGCTGGAAAATCCAAAATCAAGGTGTCATTCTGGTTTGGGGAGATGTCAGCAAGGAGAGAGGACTAAGACCAAATATATAGTTCTCATACAAATCACAATATTACACAGCACTTCACGAGGGTGCACCCACTAAAAATACTTTCCTGGGTCAGGCATGTAAGATGAATAATGTAGGTGTGTTTGTGGAAAAATACCATCTTAAATTGTATTCTTTCCACATCACATAATTTATTTGCATAGTCATGTTCTTAATTTCTGGGGGAAAAAAACACCAAAAAGCTCTTTTTTTGTTGTTTTGGAAACATCTGACCCTCTTGGTCTTTCATTTTTTTTTCCACTTTTGATATAAAACAAGTAGTGATTCCCTTTCCTCTGACTTTACTAAACACTTGAGGAAGAAATGTGAACTCCTGGAGAAGACATGCACATCGGAGGGACAGAACTACCCCCTGGCTCCTTGTTTCACCTGTTTTTTTTTCTCTCTTTCTTTTCTTCTTTTTTTGCATGTAGGCTTGATGTTGTCAGACCTGATATTTTAAGAAAAGCCAGGATTTTTCTATTGTAAAAGTCCTTGGTTTTTAAATGTTGACAGCAGATCCAATATTATTTTTAATATTCTGAGTAGGTCAACACAAGCCAAATAAAATGGGTCTGCAGGCTGAATTTGGATCAATGGTGGCAGTTTGATTATAATATTCTGCCCCTTTTCCTCATCTGATACTATGCATTAGAGATTACTCCTTATTAGGACAAAGATATCTAACTCACAGGTTCTTTGGCTAGTGAGAGTGTAATTTATTTCATTAGCGCTTATCTATGGACATTTATGTTGTTGAATTAGTTAAACAAAGGGGCCATTAGACGGCGATGGTTCTAATGTCTTGTCAGCCTACTAAGCAAACCAGAATCTAAGCCTGTAAGTGCTTTAAGGTTAATAAATCAAAACCTGAGAAAACCAATATACCCAACCAACTAGGCTTTCCCATATAAGGCAACCACTTAAGCTATAGCCGATCGAATCATTTTCTCGCTTTACGGCCTTGCCCCCAGAGAATCTGCCCCCTAGCTCCTGCTGGTGCAGCTCTCCTAACCACTTCCAGTTTGGTGCTGCCGGACTCAACTTTTGATCAAATGAACTCTTAAAATTTTTAATTTGCCTCAGTTCATCTTTTAACTACATTGATTCAAATCTTTTGCTATTTCATGCAGTGAAGAAATAAACATCATCATGCATACACTTTTGCACATACATGGGAGTGTTTGAGTAAGATGGATGCCTAGAAGTATTGTTGCAAAACAAGGGCTGTGTAAAATGTAAAGATAACCCATTTATGAAAGGGGTTGCTGTTACTTGGTTTCTTTTTTTTTCCCTCAAACAACTAGGAAATAACAGTAACAAAGAAGTTTTCGTGCGACTTTACAATCCTGGATAGAGCTACAGTTTGCACAGGTAATGATAGCAAGCTCCTATCTGGACCTACCATTAAAACAGTCACCACAGTAAATATCATAAAGAAAATTCCCAGAGTCTTGTGTTTGGGAAATTCGCTACTAAAAGCTGGGTCTGTACTTGATGTTGTTGTGAATAGATGGATACTAATTTAGGATTCTGAGCTGAAAAGGCATTGTTTTATGCTTTGTTTGTGTGTGGGAGGGAGCCAGTGCCCTTCAAGTGAAATGGGGGACACCAGACTAATTACCTTTTACAGGCCTCATTCCTTTTATGGGCCGCAGTTTCCTCATTAAACACAAAATGATAAGAGTCGCGGGGTGTGGGGAGGAGGGGCGGCGAAGGGTATTTAGAGCCCTAGAATGGACTTAGATTACTTAGGGAAAGAATGAAGTTAGAAAGGGGAAGGGGCCCAAGATCTCTGAGACCTGGGACTCTCCAAAATTTATGGGTTTGGAAGAAGAGGAGAACCCAGCAAAGGAGAGTAAGGAGCAGCAGCTCCTGGAGAACAAGGAGAAGGTCATGTCCTGAAAGCCAAGACTAAGGAGAGGTCTGATCCCCCAACACTGGGCTGAAAGCCAAGAGGTCTATTACTACTGGCAACATGGAACTGTTGGAGACGTTGACACGGACCATTTCAGCAAACTGGTGAGATTAAATACCACATGAAAGCTGGTTAAAGAGTGCCTGGACGAAATTGTTATTGACGCCTTTATAAACTGCACAAGCTTATTCCAAACCCACAGCTGGCCTGATTGATCTGAGCCCCTTTCACATATGACCTTGGGATAGTCCGTGACTTCTCCCGCATCCCTGACGTTGTTGTGAAAGTGCTGTGTAACCAAGCACGCCGAATTAAGGAGTGGGGCAAAGGAGCAACCATTGGTCTTTATTACTCTATCACTGCCCTCATTTTGTACTCTCTGGGATCCTTCATGCTCCCTCAATACCTAATTTCTTGAATAGGTACCACCCAGTGAGATTTTATATATTAGGATTCCCTGCCCCTAGCTTTATCAGTACGTCCTTGCCCAACTCTCGACCTCTCCCTTCCTCACGCCTTTAACCTGCGAGGCTCAGAATTTCAACTCGGAAACAAAGAGGGTGAAGAGGGCTGGGGGAAGGAAAATAGACTCGTGAAGGCTCTGAGCGCATGCGCTAGTCCCCCTCGGCCCTTTTGTGCTGCTCCCCTGGAAAGGGTGAGGTGTCTGTTTGCCTGACGGACCGAGTACGGGTGCCGGACGGGCTCTCGCGGAAGTCCATGCGCCATTGGGAGGGTTGCAGCGGCTTCCTTGTGTCCTTGTTGCCCAGGGACTTTTCCTGGGTCATTCCTAGAGCCGGAGCCGGACTGGGACTGACCCCGGGCTCCTGCGTAGCCATCTCAGCGCCTGTGTGACCTCCTCGCTGGAGAGGAGAGATGTGGCGTCTACGCCGGGCCGCCGTGGCCTGGTAAGTGCAGCCTCCGACCTGGCCCCGTTATTTCTAGGGCTCCGGAAAACGAGTTTGCCCCATCACTACTAACAGAATGTGCAAATAACTCTTAATACAGACGGAGAGTGGCTGGAGGATTCTGGGGTATTTTTAAGGACCCGCAGTGACAGGAGCCCTGACTGGGCTTACCTGAGGTGCCAGCTCCAGTACCGGCCTTGTCCTTGTCCCCATGCCACTTGAAGATTCTGGGCACCTTTCAGTCTTGGCCTGTCTATTGTCCCTGCCCTTTTACCCTTCTGACCTCGCTGTTATCTCTGTCTCCGGTTGCTTCTTGTTTTTGCCCTCTCCCTCCCCGGTCTATCCTTGTGTCATCCTTTCCGCGTCTCTTTTAATCCTTCGATCTCCACGCCAGGCGTACATTGCTCCTGCAGGTATTTTTGCTCTTCTCCCGGGGTGAGGGAGACCCTGCCTCTTTCCCTAGTCCGCTGAGTGAACCAGGATTTGGGAGTCAGATCTGGAGCAGTGATGCATATGGTGTCAGAGGTGGTGATCAGAGATACCTTCTTAATAGCAGCTTCCCCCCACCCCCACCCTCGGAGTCCGGGAAAAGAGACTTGGTTTTGGATGCGCGATAGTAAATGTGGCACCACCTTTTTAATAACACTGTTACTGTTGTCCGGGCCTGGTTTAATCCTAAATAGGAAATCTTAGAAGTCTTTTCGTTTTTATGTGTTACTATATGCATTTTAATGAGATTAAAATGACTTCACATGTAGTTGTATTTCAGTATGCTTAGGTACTTCAGAGTTAACTCATTTAGGCATTCGATAATAAGCAGTACACACCAAGCTAGGCTGAAAAAACTTGGTTTTCCTGAATTAACCTCTTGAAATTTTTTCCAGAATGTTTTAAATGGTAAAGGTAATTTATAGTATTTATAAGGAATAGAATCCATTTATTTCATGAAGCTTAACTTGAGTTTAAATTCAGAACTGGATGACATACAATAGTTATCATTTTTGTCAACTAGAATCATTAAATTATTCCTAATCATGAAACTTTAATTTCTAAGTAAATCCACAGCCCTCGGTACTAAAGTTATTTACAACTTCTTTATTTCTACTCAGTATGTACTGGGGAAACATATCTAACTTTTTTAAAATAAAAAGAGAAAAGACTTTGCCGAAAAATAGCATACTTTGTTCGAGCAATTATGTAGGAAAAACTTTAAACCTGGATTTATAAACAAACTGATAAATAACATATTTGTTTATTCAGTTGGATGCTATTGGGCTAAACTGTTTCTCAAGTTACTATGGAGTCCATAGAATTGTAGTTTTAAAATGTCATCTTATGTGGGTGGCACAGTTTAGCTCCCTGCAGAAGGAGAGATGTGGAAAGTCAGAACCCCCAAACTCAGGAATTTTTCTTTTGCTGTAGTTCTTTTCATGTTATAAAGAAGTACATTTAATTTCCCATTGTTTAGCAGATGGGACTATAAACATTTTTTGACATATATATCTAAATGCATGCTGATAGACATGTAAGAAGACCAACGACCAACATTTATTTAGGTCCAATAAATATTTATATAAAATTGTTGAAAAAGAATTACATATTAGGGAATGATGTCCATGTTAAAAGAGATGGTAGAGGAGAGAAAATAGACGATTTTGGGGGGAAACCTTATGTTGGTTGATGTTTGATTTTTAGTTTGGCTCATAGCAGTCTGTTCAAAATCCTTTTCCTTCAGGACAGTGAAGGTGTTGCTACACTTTTTTCCAGCATCATTTATTACTAACACAAACTCTCAAGACAATCTGATTTTTGTATTTGAAGGTATCCTGTTTTTCCCTTCATGGAAGCTTTTAGGATCTTGGCCTTATCTTAAAATTCTCAAGGCTTTGTCCAGGTGTGGGTCTTACCCCTTTGCCACTCTCTACCCCTCCCACCCCCACTCATCTGGCCTAGCGCTCCATGGGCCTTTCTGTTTAAAAAGAGTCTTCGTTCTGGGAAATTTTTCTTCTCTTAGTTTTTTCCCTTTTATTTTTTCCTGTTTTTTTTTCCTTTTTAGACAGTTATTATATGAATATTGTTTTACTTAGATTGATCCTGTAGTCCATGATTTCCAAAATATGATCTGTACCCACCTTCTGTTAAAGAAGCATGCACGCGCCACAACGTGTGTATGTGCACACCTTTAAAAATTATAGATGTACCTCTGTACCAAGTACTTTATTTACAGTGCAAGTCTACCCCAATATAATCTTAAAGGACAAGATACAAGAAACAAACAAACAAAAACTCTGTATCTAGAAGCTTTGCTATTTTCCTCCTGAACCCCAGTGGATCATTTTATGAATCCCGTGGGTGCGCATTTTGGATGCCACTTCCGTGAGTCACTTAGCTTTTCTCTCATGGCTTTTACTTTTTTTAATATATATTTTAAGTTCTGGTGAATTGTCTGGTATTGCTGATAGATAGATATCTCACTACAGCTTTAATTTCCATGAACTCCTATTTAACATTTATTAGTTAAATCTTAAGAGATTGTAATTCTGTAAATATTGTATTGTTCTCCAGTTGCTATTTTTAATAACAGCCTGCTTCTGTTTTATATCTACAATATCTTAAGGAAGCCACCTGAGAGTATTAATTAGAATTTGGTACCTTCGCTCTTCTCAAGATTAATAATGTTGTTTATCTTGGTTCTTAGCTTAAGAGCTGCTGGTTTTCTGCAGGAACCTAGTATCTAATTATATTTAAACATGATGGATTAATAATGATTGATACAGGTACCTGTGTGGGTTACCCCTGAATGAAAAGGTTGATTTAGCAAACTCTTTTAGGTGTGTGATGTGGCAGCTAGCAGGCTTCATTTTAGAGTTTTTAGGGAGTGGGCAGGCTATCGGATCTCGTTATAAATGCCAGTATTGTTGGGGCCTGCTCTGGGAAGAATCCCTTCTCCCTCCCCCACCCCATTCCCACACACACTGGGGAGCCTTAGTTCTTCCCTGTCAGATTGCAGAGCCTAGGGGTAAGCGTTGCTGTTAACACCCAACTACACTGGAGTAGGATGGAGGGTGACCAAACCACCTTTCCCCAGCTGGTGCTTTGGTGAATCTCAATTTCTTCTTCTCTTTTCATTCTGTTACCTGTATTTCAAGAGGACCCTATTGAGAAAAATAGTCTGTCCTGTGTGAGCATTGACCTTTTAGATCATTATGAATTGGAAACTCTTGAAGTAATCTTGAGGATGCCATAAGTACTAGGATTTTGTTTTACATCAATTATCTCTTTCAGGAGACTAATTGTTTTTGCCCTCCTTAAAGAAGTCATTACATTCAATGTTGTTGTGTGATAACATTGATGAGGTGCCGTGGGAACTTCACTCTTGTTTGCATCTATTAGCTTATGGTAAAATTGGTTTCATTACACAAATTTTAGCTTCAGGTTGCAGAACCAGAACCTACTGATGACATTAAATGAGGACTTACTGAAATGAAAAATAAAAATAACTTAGGGATATTACCATTCAGCCCTGGAGTTAATCTGTTTGGTTATATATTTAGATTAATACTTTTCTTTCTTTTTTTATTTTTAAAGATTTTATTTATTTACTTTTAGGCAGAGGGGAAGGGAGAGAGAAAGAGAGAGAGAGAAACATCAATGTGTGGTTGCCTCTCATGTGCCGCCCACTGGGGACCCAGCAGCAACTCAGGCATGTGTCCCGACTGGGAATTGAACCAGCGACCCTTTGGTTCAGTCCACTGAGCCACACTAGCCAGCACGGAGTAACACTTTTCTAAAGTGTTAAAGTAATTTCTAAAAATGCCGAAAAATTCTGTGAGGGTTAAAGAGCTATTCATTCATATATTAGTGGAGCTTAGTGCAATTAATGTTGAAATTACATTTATTGAGCACTTTTTCTTTGGTCATTGCTATGTTCTTTAACTTCAAAAAAAATTTGCTGTTTAATTATCCCAATGGCATATGTTCATTAAGCAAATTTATTGAGTGCCTACTATGTGTGAGGCATTGGGCTAGGCTTTAGAAACATAATGGTAAGCAGGACTCTGGCTATATGGAGATTGCAGTTTAATGGTGCAGACCAATATTAATTCAGTAATTATACTATCATGTAATATAGATTTTATGAGCACTGAAGATAAAAGATACAGGGAACCAAGAACTGTAGTAGGGAGACTTGAATAAGAATGAAGGTTAAGGGAGAGGAGGAGTGCTCGAGGTAAAGTTCTTACGGGAGTTAACAGGAGTAATAGGAAGAGAGGAGTAAGTAGGTAGAGAGTTTGCCTACGAACAGTGGACATTAAAGCTCTGATGGGGGACAGAGTATGGCACTATTGGGGAACTACATGAACACCTGCCTGGAGGTGGGAGGGAGGGAGACTGGGACCAGTCTGTGGAGGGCTTTGTAGACCAGGAGTTTGGATGTTGTTGTAAATGCTGAGGTTGGGGGGAATTTAAAAGATTTTTGCAGGTGAGTGAGAGTGATAGATTGACATTTCAGAAGCGTACTCTGGTTGTGCTGTGGAGAATGCCTTCGCACAGACCCACGTGAGGAATGGTAGTGGAAGTGGGAGAAGTGGGAGATTTGAGATCTGCGTTGAAGTAGAAGTGGCAGAACTTGAGGGTGAGGGAGGTATCAAGAGTGGTCCCCAGGTTTGTGGCTTATGTGACTGGATAGGTACTTACGCATTTTCTGAGATAATGAGTATTGGAAGAAAGTCAGAGTTTTGGGGGGAAGGAGAAGGAGAAATATCAAGGTTTTAGATATCTTGAATTTGAGTTATTTTTTTTTATATCTAAGTAATGTTGAGTAGGCAATTGAACAGCAAGTCCTGGAACTTAACTATTTATATTGGACATACACTTGAGAAACATGGGTATATAGATGGTAATTGAGGACATAGGTGAGAATAAGTGTCTACAAAGAATGTATACAGTGAGAAGAGAAGTGGGTTTAGAGCTAAGCCTTAATAAACTCCTAACATTTA